AAACCAGTTTTCTAGCAATCCATGTTTCTTATGCTAAAAAAATACGGACCGAAGTTGCGTCATCCTTTGAAAATTCTAATTCGGAACGTTCACGATTTCTGAGCTGTTGCGCCTCTATCACCGATGATTCAGTATCGATGCTGTGGACATTCCGAAAGCCATTATCGTACATCTGAATAGGGATCTGAGCATTTAGTTGCAAAAGAAATGGCAACGAAGGAGACGCGCGGGGTAGCGTCGCGATAGCACACACGATCGGTTGTCCGCCTTTGGACAAGAGGGTTGTGAAAGTATAGGTTATAAGTTTTGCTTGAAGGCTCAAAAAATATAACAGGATGTGGGTTCGGGTGAATGAAAATGAATACAGTGAATTAGGGCGCGTCCACGCTCAACCCGTTGAGGAATTAGGGAATTCGCTGAAACGAGAGACCCGTGGAGATAGAGCCAAAAGAATCGGATAAGCAACATCTTCCGCAGTTCTGCTAAATCGGGGCGGGGGGGGGGGGAACCAGATAACCGACATCTGCTTGGCTCTTTTCATGGAATCTGTCAACCCTTGGTACCCCAGTTTCACAATTCTACGAGTCTCCAAGACGACACGCATACCTCCGTTTCCAATGGTTTCTTCGGACGGCGATGTTCTCTTTCAACGGCGATGTTTATGAACGCAGCTCCAGTGCAGCAAACATTCCGGTGTTGGAGGGAGTTCCATAGAGTTTATTGTGAGGGCGGCTGCGGTGGCTACATATCGCGCACAGTTGCCTCCCACGGGACGGGAGCTCCATCAAAGTTTTCTTGAGCCGTCTGCGCTCTCTTAGGCGTTAAATTCATGTTGTTCATGTCTTTGTGAGCCAACACCAGCCCACTCACACTCTCTCCAATTTTTGTGGTACAAAATGCAGCTTTTTACATCGAGAATTTTGAAGTGAAATCAGAAAGACAATGGACGAAATGCTGAAAACTTAATCGTAGTAACAAAAAGGTACAGACCTGAGCAGCCAGTTGTGAGTTACCACAGCCAATCTGAAGAATTCTATCAGACGACTTGAGATACTTTTCCAAAACTGAGCCTAACACACCATAATCACCGTACCTAATAGTGAACAAATCACCATAAATCATCGATCGACCGGAGGCAGTGTTTAGACTCCACAGTGACGCGCGTCGACGCGCTACAACTGCGACAGCGTTCCACTCCATAGACGCGAACAGCCGCAAACGGTAATCAGTCGGCGCTTGTGTTTCCAGAGAGCATGGGGGACAAGAGAGTGGGCGTTGCCTGACCACGTAGTCTGATCTTTGGGAAAAGGTAGAAGGGCATGAGAAGACCGGACTAATGGACGGCAGCGTTTGCTCTCTTGTTACCCTGCACTCTCGCAAAACACGAGCGGCCCACGCCGACCGATTTCCGTCTGCGGCTGCGTTCTCATCCCTTTCAGATTAGAGCGCTGCTGCAATTATAGCGCGTCGACGTCTCTTAGGCTGCGTTTATACTTTGCGGCAGCGTAGCGTAGCGCTTCCAGCGTACGCCAGCGGCAGTGCTGGGGAGAGGATGCATATCGATCTAGCGTTCCCAGCGTCACCAGCGTCACGCTAGCGTACGCCAGCGTTTCTCCAGCGTTTCACCAGCGTTTGCAGCGGCAGGGGAGTAGAGACTATGGGAGAGCTGGAGGGTACAAAACACATCGATTGCGCGTCTCTCACTCGCCCTCAGTCTCTACAATACACATCGATTCCGCGTCTCTGACGGCCACATAGTCTCTACTCCCCTGCCGCTGCAAACGCTAGCAAAACGCTGGTGAAACGCTGGAGAAACGCTGGCGTACGCTAGCGTGACGCTGGTGACGCTGGGAACGCTAGATCGATATGCATCCTCTCCCCGGCACTGCCGCTGGCGTACGCTGGAAGCGCTACGCTACGCTGCCGCAAAGTATAAACGCAGCCTTAAGCGCGTCGCCGCGCGTCATCGCGAAGTCTGAACGCTGCCAAAAAAACCGCCTACCATTCGAAAGGTGTCTTCCGCGCTGCGAAGAAATTTTTCCAGTATTTCGGATCGGTGAATTCGGCCGTTGATTTCGGTAACAACGCCATCGGAAATTCACCCTATTAGATCCTGCGAATAAATTCAAAAACCCTGCACTATCAAAAAAATAACCAGCTAAAGAAAGCCACCGAAACAATCAAAACACGTAAAGAAAACAAAATTTATTAAGTACATTCATATTAGGGCCATATAATACCTGCCTTAGTGCATCACAATTGCATGACGCATCTTACAAAAACAGGGGACAGTTCGGCGACGGGGGGAAGGGGAGAGGGCATTTTGGTTCTTTGCTACTTTACATCGAGTGTCAAGCCATCTGGAGAGCTCTTTCATGAGTCTACAAGAGCCGACAGGTTTTACCATAAACTGGTGGCTCGATGAGCTTGCTCCAGCTTCTCAAGAGTAACAGGTTTTATCGGGGCGAGACTTGTAAACAGTAACTGGTAGAGCAGAGAAACTGCAAAATGCCCCCCCCGTCGCCAAATTGCGCCCAAAAACGTTATAAGCAAAAAGAGAAAAAAACAAAAGTAATGATGATCAATATCTAATAGCTGCTATGATCGAGAAACCGTTTTGGAACCGCTATGAACAGAATCACAGGAAACTAACAAGTTTGTTACCATAACATTCTCAAGATATATTC